ACGTTTTTTCATTAAAGATGAAATTTAATTATTATATCCATTCAATGTAAATATTTTATCGCGTGTTCACCAACATCTCCTCCTCTAAATAAATAAATAATAATAATAATCTCCCTAAATTTGAACGGCGAAAGAAGCTAAGAGAGGTGAAATTTAACGTTTTGGTTTTCATCAACCTATAAGTTACATCTAACAGCAATAAGTTAGCGGTTACTTTAAGTGTTAAGTCACGCTAAGTATCTCTTAATTAAGAGATGGTTCAGGGATGGTTTGTGAAAACGGCCGTCAGAAAAATAATAAGAATCTTTTGTACCAATATCATCTGAAAGACTGCACGGTTGGTGCGGTGGCTGGGCAACCGGCTGCCGTGCAACGTGTCGCGGGTTCGATTCCCGCACGGAACAATATTTGTGTGTTTCAAATTGTTGTTATGGGTCTGGGTATCGTGTGTATGTGAACTTGTATGTTTGTAAACGCATCCACGACACAGGAGATAATACTAGTGTGGGCCAACGTTTTTTTAAAAAAAGAAAAAATAAAGAAAGAAACTACAAAAAGCTAAAAAATATTATGAAAGTACTTATTGTTTGAAACAGCAAGTAGTGATGTACCTATGTAAATAAATTGATATCTATATTACATCTAAAAATATAAAGTCCATGTAAGGCAGACTGGCCTCGATCGATACTGGATTTCATTAGGTTATAAAAAAGTATCTAGATTTTTAAAGGTTAAAGGCTCTCTACGTGAAAGCAATGACGCAATATTGGATAAAATATTTTATTCTTGCATTTTTGAATGATATAAGTAGACGGATCACCTGATGGTAAGCAATCGGCGTCGCCCATGGACACCCGAACACCATAGGTGTAACAAGTGCGTTACCAGTCTTTTGGAGATTAGGAATTTGAGGATTGTTGGAGATACAGGGATTGGAGAGATTGGAGAAGGGGGGAGGACGATTGGGCCTCCAGTAACCTCACTCACACGACGAAACACAACGCAAGCCTTGTTCCAAGTCGTTTTTCTCTGATGCCGTGGTACCACTGCCGGCCCATTCGTACCGAAGCATGGCTCTCCCACATTTTAATAATAATCAACGGTAGTCCTTAAATTTAAAACTGATAAATAATGTTATATTTAAAATATGTATTTCTTAACTTCTGAAGACCTTACTTCTTTTTGTTTAAAATAGCCAAGGTACAATAGTTTAACAGTTTATTGTACTGAGTAAAGTTCGTGAACTATTGAACTAAAACAGTGTTAAATACAAAAGCGTGGAAAATCTTTCAGATGTTTCCTATAAACCTCGTATATGAGGTTCATTGACATTTGATTACTTATAAAAATATTCAATGTGTTCTTCTAACTAATTTTGGTGGTAATTTACCTAGCTTATAGGTGTCAGGCCCATTAACTCACAGCAGAATGGAGTTTTGATATTCCTAAAGTAATTATTCTTATAAGTACATTATTCCCGTACGGAAAAAACCTTTGTGTGATCCACAAATTGTTGTTGAAGAAAATACTAGTGCTGTGCAACTATAAAAAAGAAATATTATGCAAGAGCCCCTAGGGTCCCAGCTTAGTATAAGACGGCCCTGACTATCACATCACTCTTTAAAATTCAATACGAAATTTCGATTAGAGAAAGCTCACACCAAAAACACCAATCACATAAAAACACAGTTAAAAATTCCCAAATATGATTTTAAAAACTGTGATTAAGTTTCCCTTAATGATGGCTTTCTATAGTCTAATACATAGTATAGTACATTACATAGGCATGCTATTACTGTGGACATAATTCCGTCTAACATGTACATTGCGTGCTCTGTTCACATGAGGCCACCGAACATTTTATGACGAAGCTTTCATACATGTTATTAAATGAATAATTCTGATTTAGATAGGTCAACGGCATTGACTAGAGGTATTTAAAAACATGTATAAAGATTTTTTAGTTGTGTGTTTTGACTTTTTTCTAATTATACCTAGCGATAATATCTGGTTACTCAAAGCAAATAGTCATTATGAGATTTATTCCTAAAGTAACTGAGATACATGTCTTGAGACATATGCTCTGTACATAACTAAAACGTCATTACGTGAGTAGATAATGTGAGCAGATAGCTCTATTTTTGGATCAAGAATTTTAAAGAATCTCTTAGAACTTAATAAGCAAATCAACCTAAGAATCTAACCCAAGGCCTTTGTTTATAGGTAGCATTTGCTACTACTAAAACAACAAGACCGTCGAACCTAAAACTTATAATTCTACTTTTTACATCATTGTCTCATCAACGAACAACTACATTACAGGAACCCTAAATGATATGTCATCGGCTACACAATATGATAGAAACGAAGGCAAAACCGGCGAAATTTATAGAGGAGCCGTTAACAAAATATATTGCCTGCCAATATCGATGGAATAAAATAGCAAATTATCTATTTCTGTCCTACAGGCGACCGCAGCGATACAATGCGTCAAATTTTATGGCACTGAATGGAAACTAAATCTTGTATTGGAAGGGAAAGGAACAACTGAAGGAATGATGGACGAAACTGAGTTATTGTGAAATGTAAGGAAGAGAATGAAGTGCGTAATAAGATGAATTAAGACTACAGACAGAAAGATAAGCTTCCTGATTTTTTTATTTATTTTATAAGCCGGTAAACTAGCAGACGGGTCACATGAAGGTAAGCAATCGTCGCCTATGGATACCCAAAACACCAGCCGTGTTATAAGTGCGTTACTAACCTGTTGAGGATTCGAAATTTGTAGTAAATGATATGAAGGTAGAAGAAGAAAGAACTGGGAAATTGTTTTGGGATGAAATAATTTATGTATTATGTATTAAGCATCATTGCAAAGTGATGACGCGGTGAAAACAAGAACGAAATAAATACAAGCCTGAGAAAACTATCCCTATATTTTCAGAATCAAGGTTTATTTAGAAAACATTTAAAACATCTCCTCTACATTGTATAATGAGGATTCTTTTGACGTAAGGAAAAGCTGTAGTCAAACATCAGCTATCAAGTAATAGGTACCTTCCGTTATTATATCAAAAAGGGTTACAAATATACCCTAGCTACTGCTAAATATACATCTCTGCGTGGGCTTGTCCCATAGTTCAAGGGCTCACCATGAACTTGCTTTGAACTCCCAACCTTTTCGTCGTCAAACCGACAAATCAGATCAATACTGTTTAGGAATAATGTTTTCAAAGTAATGGTTTGTTGATAGAAGCCATGGTGAAGAAAAATACATATATAAAATATAAGTTGGGCCTGAAATCGAAGCACTATTTTTTATAGCATAAGCCGGTAAACGAGCAGATGGATCATCTGATGGTAAGCAATCGACGCCGCCGTATACCCGAAACCCCAAGGCATTACAAGTGTGTTAACGGCTTTTTGGGAATTTGTGAATTGTGGAGGATACGTGGATTCAGGAAACCAGGGAGACTAGGGAGGGGGGTAATTGGGCCTCCGGTAACCTCACTCACACGACGAAACACAACGCAAGAGTTATTTCAAGTCGGTTTTCTGTGAGGCCGTGGTATCACTCCGGTCGAGCCGGCCCGTTCGTGCCGAGTTTAAAGTAGTTATATGACTTTATATGCTCTGGACTTACCCAAACGTTGGACATAATGTAAAGTCAAATATAATTATATAAGACATTTAAGTGAGAACATAACTTATTTGAGAAATTTTGAAACTTATACCAGATAGTGATTTGGATTCTTTTGGCGTATGTATGTAATATTAACCACTTCTTCGCGGTTTCTCCAGCTCTGCTCGGCGCCTATTGATCGTAGTGTCACATTGGAATTTCTCAAATCGGACCTATAGTTTCTGATATTAGCGCATTCAAACAAGCAAAAAAAGTCCTCAGTTTTATATAATAGTATAATATTGTATCTCCCCTAAAAAATCTATCTAGTCTAGCCTAAATATACGTAAATTTTAATTTAGTGTGTTACAACTAACCACAGTTTCCGACAACTGGACAACTTTATAGTTTCCGTTCAAAGAGTTTGGTTGCGGAGTAAAATTATAGGCGTATAAACAAAACCATTGTTACCACGACGAAAATAAGAATCAAAAAAATTGTACAATGTGGGTACAGTACAGCAAAAATAAAAAATGATCCCTACCGTAATAGGATCCTTCAAAGGTTCATCAATCTGCGCCTGTTTGAAGAAGATGTTTCCATGCGATATTCTCCAGAGCATCTTTTCAAAGGCCGGTATCCTTGCCGTGGTCACCACTCCAGCTATGAACCCAAGATGTCCTAACACTGCGTCATTATTGTATATTTGTACAGACGCAGATATCTTCCGTTGTGCACTATGGTCTTGAAAGAAGGTTTGCATCTTCTCTATCAAAGTCCTCAGTTCTATTAGAGCTAAATAGTCACTCTTCAAGTTCCTTGCGTTTCTTGTTATCTCCTGTATCTCTGATTCTATGAAGTCGATTCTTTCCTGGAAAACAAAAAGTTTGGAATGAGTTTTGCAGTAAAGGTAAGGTCGTCGAACGAAGAACAGCCGTGCAGCAGACTGGCTAGAATAATGTACGGTTTGAATTCATTTATTTCTAAAAGATTACAAATCACTTGTACAGAAATAAATACTTAAACTAATTTTACATTTTTTGATTTGTCCAGGAGTAACAAGGTTTCGAGGTAAGGTAAGAATGTGATGTTTTTTGTTATTTTAGTAATTTTATTGTTTAAATTATACATATTTATCGTTCTTTCTGTATTCTCAGCAAGTGTTAGAGGTTAAAAAGTGAACTTTATTTTATGTTGTCCATAGCGTGATTACAGAGGTATTCATTTTACCGTTCAAACCAAAGATGAAACGATAAAATTTAAACTAAACATTCATTTACTGTTTTCACAGTAAGCTGTAAAACAAAATAGTTCTTAGGAATACGTATAACAGTGATAACTGCTAGTGCATTTATATGCAACATTAAATATTAGCCGAACAAAATGCATTTCATGGAACTCGCAACACAATCGTTAAATCGAGGTACCTATTAATGACCACTTTATGGTATTGCATACATTGCAATGTATTCATTATGATTGTTATTGAAGTAGTATTTTGTGTGAATTTTCTCTTTATTAGTGTTACACTGTAATGCTGTATTCCTTAGGTTTATTCTCAAAACGGTATTTGTTCTTTACAGCTTGTGACCGATCACTTAATTCTTCAAGTATACATTTGCTAAGTTTTGGATTTTCAATTTGAAATCATTCTTAAATTATTAAACTAGTCATCTTTTCTTTACATAATTGTAATCTTGTACCTCTATATAAAGCGAAAGAGTTTGTTTTTTTGTTTGTTTGTTTGAACGCGCTAATCTCCGTAACTACAAGTCTGATTTGAATAATTGTTTTTTGTGTTGTATAGCGCATTTATCGAGAATGGCTATAGGCTATAATCACGCTACGACCTATAGGAGCTGAACAGAGCATGTGAAACCGCGCGGAAGTAGCTAGTACTAAAATATGTATGATATAGAAGTAATTATAGAACGCTTCATTTTCAGTTAAACGTCAAATTTCAATTTCTAAGCCAATAGTTAATTGAGAATATACCAAAAAGAGATTTGATGAAGAAAGAACTCAAGAAATCGAAGATTGTCTGTATTTTTAGCAACTAGAGTATAAAACAGATAACAAATTTCAACACCTTAAAACCGAACTAAACAATATTTCCAAGCGCTTTTCTTCGCTGAACACTAATCTGTTAGATCCTACAGAAGTCCTCGGTCTATTACAACATCCTCGGACAGATGTATGATGTCATGGCAACTCATAAATAACAATAACTGTGTCCTGTGATCCCCACTATATCCTGTGCCGAGGGATCTAATTGGTGTAACCTTGTTGCTAATTGTTTCACAGATTCCTGCGACACTGTATTAATTGTGGTTTGTTATGTAAGTGGTGGTTTGTTCTGTGTATTGATTGTGTGAACTTTATTGTGTAATTGTTTTTTTTTTGTATTTACCGTCGTAAGACTTTATGTTTAAGTTCTAAAGCTAAGGACTCACGAGACGATTTTCTCCTGCACCCGTCGCGGTTGCAGGCCCGCAGCCTTTGTAGAATACAGATAATTATGTATGTAAAAAATTAAAGCCCATTTCACTAAAAAAGCTTCTAAAAAAAATTGCGGTCCCGTAGACGCCGCGGTTGCGATTATCGGCTACAAACTTACCGGTTGATGATCTATATTTTCTGCGGGCGTAAAACGCGTCGAGAAATGTTCGTTAATTTTTTACATACATATCTGTATCCTACAAAGGCTGCGGGCATGCAACCGCGGTAGGAGCGGGTTAAAATCGCTTCGTGTGTCCTTAGCCTAACTGGTCGGCGATTTTGTTTTTGTGGTTGGTAAGTTATATGGATGACGTGATATTATTGTTTTTAATTTTCTAAACTCTGAGGGGAAATTGTCTTACATTGGGACTTCTTTGGCAATGACCTACCTATTATTTAATAGGACTAAAGTAGCAGCTGGAAAAAAGAGCAATAGTAATACTTATTTCCTTTGTTATATGGTTAGTCTTATTAAATGATACTATAGAACAGTTTTACCTACAATAAAGATACAAATGTGTAGGTACGTTTTTTACGCCACGACGATGGCAAAAAAAAGTAATTAGTTTTTTTTTTTTAATAACGTTGCCCTACATTAGGATTTTCTCTATGGTCGTGGGTGCGTTTACAAACATACAAGTTTACATTCATATAAGACCCAGACCCGATACAACAATTTGTGAATCACACAAAGTGTTGCTCCGTGCGGGAATCGAACCCGCGACTCGTTGCACGGCAGCCAGTTGCCCAGCCACCGCACCAATCGTGGAGTCACCAGTAATCTCACCGAAACGAAAAATGCTTTGATTTAAAACTTATAACAATCCACAACCGAGTTCTTGTACTAAACTTCACGACGATCAGTCCAGCAGTTACGGCGATATTGGGTAACAAACACATATACATATAAACATTGTATTTATAGTTGTATTATAGTGTCTGGTCTGGCAATAATAACAGATGTTGGTGCGTAAGCTAAATTAATAGGTTTGTGCTCTTTACAACCGAACATTACTATTAATCTTCTTCTTAATGACAACTGGCATGTTTTTTTAGCCTTTATTTACTATTCTTCTTTGAGAATCTATCAACAATTATTCTTCGTTCTGTTTAGCTTAGTTCATTTATTGTAGGCGTTTTATTTTAATAAATAGTATTTGAATAAACTAATAGAGGATTAATTACTTCCTTCTATAATTATATTTTCATCTCCAATGTTAAGCCAGGGGTACACTAAGGGACAAATGTCGTATGTCACGTATCACCAGCGATGTTGGGTGAAGTATACTTTGGTCTACATGCCTGGCAACATCAACGTCGCAGTGGATAAAAGGCGCGCATTATTGCCATATTTATGCCATAATTATGTCAGGTAAAATCGGCCGGCTTCGTTTGACATGTCGCCGATATATGTCATGCGACATGTTTGTGCCCCCTAGTGTATCCTGGGCTTTATTTATTAAAATAAATTAATACTTTTTGTACAAATGTGTATACAATGGCGGGCTTAATTCCAACTACAGGGTGATGCAGAGAAGTGTTACAGTAGGTTATAAACAAGTTTGTATTTATTGAAAAATGAGGATGTTCAATAAGTTAGTTTTCTCTTTAGTTTTACTTTTCTCCAGATGTGTGGATTGACGTGAGTTCATGTAGTAGGTGTTACGTAGAATTTGTTAACGTACGTCATTATTATTTATCTCTATATATCTCGAGAGCAGATGAATCTGTGTAGAAGATACAAATAAATTTTGTATTGTTTAGAGCTTCATCAACATCAAAACCAAAGATAGATTTGCGTTTGTGATCGTAAGGTTGTTTAGTATTACAGGGTTAAGGTTACGTGCGTAGATAGTGCAAGCTGTAATAATTCAAATTATCAAACGAGATTTCTCGAACTGAGTCTATAAAAGTACCCATTTTATGATATACTTTAAAAAACAGATTGGATGCATTTAGTACATTGATAAGCTTGCTTCTGAGAACTTATGCACGTTTTAATGTTATGTTAATAAATCTTTTAGATGCATCAAGCCTTCAAGTAAGGCAGTTGTGTAGTTACCTCCAATATGTTGATCTCTCGAGGGCTCAAACTACAGCGTTCAGGTTTCGGAGGAGGCGGTGGCTCAGGGAGCTCGCCAGCCACCCAGCGTAACTTGCGCTCCATCTCACTACAGCGCCGTACTTCACTGACATACCGGCGCTGGAAGTCGTTCACGTGAGGGTTTAACTGTGAAAGAGAAATAAGAAAAATGTTAAACATTATTACAACAAGATTTGTAAAGAGAAAAAGGGTGAGAGCTATGAAGAGAGGGTGTGACTTTTATGTTGTCAAGATCCCACCCTAATTTGCTATATCATTATCATCAGCCAAGAAACCTTCATTGATGAAAAAAAGGCTTTATTTCAAAGACTGCATTTGCCATAATCCCACACATAGCTTCAAAACAGTTATCGTAGACCACATAGGTACATTTGTATCACTAGAGACGTCGCTCATGACATGAGTTTTTGCAGACTTAATCATATAATCGAAATATTGGACCAGTCTTCTGACTGCCTCGTTGGCCGAGTGGTCGTAAGTGCGACTGCCGAGCAAGGGGTCTCGGGTTCGATTCCCGGGTCGGGCGGGTTTTTAATTCTCAGTAGTAGTATGGAGACTGGAATTGTGCTCGGTATATGGCAGTAGGCTCACCCCCTACTACATAAGACTCATAACATAAATAGTGAAAAGTGGGTGTTACATTGTACAGTGGTATAATGTGCGCCTCTGCCTACCCCTTCGGGATAAACAGCGTGATGATGTTATGTGTGGACCAGTCTTATTTTTAAAACCTGCACTCTTCCTATTAAATATGCATAATTTACAAGGCTGGAGCACCCTTAACAGTTATTAGGGGCCACTTAGCGCGCCGCACTTCGCACTCTTCAATTAGGCTTAACGACTATCTAGGTAATAAGTACATGATTGGTCATTTGTGTTCACCATTACTGCTACAATTTTTATTTATTATAAAAGAAACTAAAACTACGAATTGGTTTTTTTCATCGTCAAAGAAATCATCCGCATCATTGTCATCGGAGAACATTATCTGATGTCTTTCTTTTGTTGCAAAAAAGTAATCTAAATGTCGAGATATTTGAAGAGAAAATGTGCTTCTACCTACTTATAAGTGCCTACACTAGATTTTTCTGCCTACAAGACACGCCCGTAGCACAGTCGTCTAACCACAGTATCAATTATGCAGTTAACATACGACAAACTCTTTGCGTAATAATTTTTTTTTGGCGTAAGCCGGTAAACGAGCAGACGGATCACCTGATGGTAAGCAATCGGCGCCGCCCATGGACACCTGAAACACCAGAGGCGTTACAAATGCGTAACGGGCCTTTTGGGGATTAGGATTTTGAGGATCGTTGGGGATTCAGTAATTGGGGAGATTGGGGAAGGGGAGGGTAATTGGGCCTCCGGTAACCTCACTCACACGACGAAACACAACGCAAGCGTTGCTTCATGTCGGTTTAGTAAATGACTTGTAACAGTATCTAAAGGCCTTCATTGAAAGACTTTTGTGTATTCCTTAAATGGTATAAAACCTTGACGGTTCAAGGTTGCCACAAACAGTAATATGAACGAATACAGTCGATCAATTACAATTTATCTGCATTTTATTGACGGCGCGCCCTGCTCAAATTACGTGGCTTCCTAAATGTTATAGGTTACCCCCTGTTTTATTGCTGTCTTCTTTACGTCAATATTTATAGTATTTGTAATAAATATAATATGATAATAAATACTGCGTCAGGCACAAGCCTCACACATAACATACAAATGTCATGTGTATTCAGAGTTTTCATTTTTCGTTTAAATGTTTTTGGTATCGATGTAATAGCTTTAATAGGCGAGTTTGTTATCAAATACAACTGGGTTTTCTTTAATTCAAGAGTTAAAGAAAACCCAAACAGAACTTTGACATAACATAACATCACGCCTTTAACCCTGAAGGGGTAGGCAGAGGTGCACATTATGCCACTGTCCAATGTAACACCCACTTTTCACTATTTATTACATATACCGGGCATCGCCCCTATACCGGGCACAATTTCAGACTCCGTGCAACTACTGAGATTTGAGATTTTTTTTAAAAAAACCCAGTAATACTTTGCCCGACCCGGGAATCGAACCCAAGGCCACTTGTTTTTGGTATCGATGTAATAGCTGTAATAGGCGAGTTTGTTGTCAAATACTATTATGTTAGACAATTATAAACATATAATTAATGAATCTTTGCGAATGGAAGTTAAATCAAAGATTAAAATATTTTCCTTCATACATGACAGTTGCAATAAGTAAAGGGTTAAACAAAAACCGAAAGATAATACTGATTTTATTGGTATTCATTTTTAAGCATTAGAAAAAATAATTTAACATAACACCGCGCCTCTTACCCCCGAAGGGGTAGGCAGAGGTGCATATTGCGGCACCTAATGCCACTGTACAATGTAACATCTACTTTTCACTATTTATTATGTTATGAGTCCACTGTAATAGGGGGTGAGCCTATTGGCATATACCAGGTATAATACCAGCCTCCGTGCAACTACTGAGAATTAAAAAAAAACCAGTAATACTTTGCCCTTATTACCTAGCAGTCGCACATGCGACCACTGGGAAACCGAGGCAGTATATATTAATAGTTCACAAAATAAAAAAATTTCTCCTTTATCCCAACAAACTCTCACAATAACTATTCTACGTTTCTAATAATCTCAGCAGTATATACCACACGACATTATACTGCTAACAAACGAAGCATTCAGATCGTATTGTACCTACAAGTGCCTGAATAGGTCGAGCAGAGACCTCGTGAAATGGGAAGTGAGCGATTGTAGCGAATAAAGGCACGAATAATGTAATTTGCTATCACATTGAGATGTAATCTCGACCAGCTGTGTATTGGTGTCACATGTTTTATATTGTAACTCTGAATGTATATCATTTAAAAGAGTTTTTAAGGGATAAGCCAGTAAACGAGTAGACGGATCACCTGATGGTAGGCAATCGACGCCGCTCAATGACCTAGAACACCAGAGGCGTTACAACTACAAGTGCTTTACCGATATTTTGGGAATTTGCCATGCTTCTGCATGAACCCGTTCGACCAAAGTGATACCACGGCCTTTACAGAAAACCGACGGATGAGTGAGTGATGTTACCGGAGCCTCAATTACTCCCTTCCTCCGCAAATTCAAATAAAAGAACTTATATAGTTTGTATGTACGTTTTACATCTTCATCTTTAAATGTATCTAACTCACAGTAAGATTCTCTCCAGTGTTGTATGTGTTATACAGATAAATTAAATTGGGAGTTTTTATTAGTAATATTGAAATAACCGCTTTTTAGTAGTGAAAAGCGGTTATTTTAAGCGGTCATGCACGTAGATGTATGGTATACATACGATACACATATCAAAATAACATTTTATACCATTTTTGTCAGTTTGATTGTACTAATCTCTAGAATGGCTTATTGGTAAGTGGCTGATGTGCTAAGGAGTAACATGGGCCAGTGCCGGATTAAGCAAGCGCGGGGCCTGTAGCAAATTTTGTCAAGGGGCCCTTGGTTTGCTATCGGTTCTCATTTGGGCATTGACTAAAATTGGTGCCTTTCTTTTTTCTGGTGGCAGTCAATAATTTATGGAAAATATTGTCTTAAATGACATTACAAAAGAAATTGTCTATGGGCTCATTTATGGAAATCTCAGTCTGGACTGAGTTATGAGTTATGAGCGTTGAAAGGAGCTGAAGTCAAACATTTTACTTTGGTTTTTTTATTCAAATTATTCATATTTTTGTCACAATTCCCAACTTTAAATTGTACGCAACTGTATGTCGGGCACAGGAACACCATATCACACCACAATATATTCATATCGCCAGGCACAAATTTTTATTACCTATTTGCTCTCAGTCGATAACTTGTGGGATGCTTCTAGGAGTTGTGTCATGAAGCTTCATGAGCGTCAGCTATGTTACCAGTGGTGGGTTGAGTGGTGGTAGCCGTGCGAATATCTAATAAAGTATATTTTGTTTTGCCATTGACTCCTGGTGGGAGACTCATCTACTTTATAGTTCGCATAATCTTTTGAAGAAAAGAAACCGTCGACTTTGTAAAGTATCACTTTACAAAGTCGACGGTTTACCTACCGGTTTTTTATACCTACGTCAGATGAGCGTATAATTTTTTTCATATAATGTGATCAGTCGAAATATAATCCATCACTTTGTGACTGAATGACGATATCTTTGTACAGAATCTTATGCTAGCTGTAGATAAGAGTATTAACTGTAGTTAAATTAGTGACTAATCGAGAGTAAGTCGGGAGAA